CATCCTGGTCATGGTCCAATGGTACATTTTCCTGGCTCACCTTTGATGTTTTCATGGTGAAGCATAAGTGTGCAAACGGTTTTCCAACCCTTCCCCCTGCCGGGTCATGGTCTAACTTGGTCCGGCAGCCCTAACCTCCTTATCCTTGAGCCGTTCCAACTCTTCCCGATATTCTTCTGGCAGCTCCCCTTCGCGCTTCTGAAGCATTCGGGCAACCTAGCGCAGCCAAGCTGCAAAAGGCTGGAAACACTATGGATAGACATTGATTGCAGGACATCTATACATCCCTTACAAGGTAATACTTTGCATTGTGGAGTGTGGAGTAAATTACAATATCAATAGCAACTGTGGCCATGTCGCATCTAATTTTCATTAATTTTCACTGACTCTACCGAAACCCGTCGCCTTCATATCTGCCGCATTGGCTTCGCATTGCAAATCCCACACCTGGGATCGAGGACGGGGAGGCAGGATTGGTGAAAATCATGATTCCAGAAGGAACAGCTCCGGAACATCCTACTCAAAGGCAGGGGTCACAATTGATCCCAGTTGGAACTTTGTATGACTGAATCACTGCGGAATTTTTTCGGCGCCTGTTTGCGGCACTGCTTCAGGCTCAAAGTCAGCTGCGTGACGGTCTGATCTTTCTTTTGCAATGCCTGCGGAAGCCACAGGTCATGGCCTTTTTGGAAACAAATCATCTATCCATCCCAGAATTAGATGGGAAGATCCACAGAATAGATCTAATTACTGGTTAAACAAAAAAAACAAACATTATTTCCGGTAAAGATTTCCCCAACCAATCCAGTTTAGCACAGCGGAGCCTTGCGGGCTTCTTTTACTTTAACTTTCATTGGGGCGGAAAGGCCTTGAACGAGCCGGGCGGGACCGGGCGGGACCGGGATCGATAGGAGCACATGCGCCACTGAACTGTCTAAACGTTTCATCTACGCGCACACAAGTACACACACACACATGGTGTAGTATGGATATATGATGTTGATGATCGATATAAATGTGTAATGATTTACAGAAACACAAAGAATATTCAAAGAAGTGAAGAGTATATGCATGTACTTGCATGTATGTGCGATACATATGCAATGGTCTGTGCAAATGATATGCATTCACTGGTTCGGTGTGTCCAACAATGGGGCCTTCTTTGGATTAATGCTGATCCCGAGGACTTATGGAGTCAACTAAAGAACCATATTATGTAATATTACATATTGGGTTTATATAATATAGGCCCTGGAATTTAGGGGAAAAAACTAGGATAAACTTTATAGGAACAATGACATACAATGACTGAAGCACTTAACCAACTTAAGCATCAACTTAACCATCAACTTCCAAGAAGACCTGCGATAATCCCCGGGGTCATCTTCCAAGGGGCCACCCTCTTCTGGCAGAACCAGACGTCGCTTGGGCATGTCTGGCAGGGGCTTCCTATAGGGCTCGGGGCCCATCTTTTCAGCCAGCTCCTCTGGAGTCTCCTTGGAGCGTTTCAGGGGGATTCAACGAAGTTCAAGAGTTGAACAATGAATAAACTACCAAAATTCTATTGAACAAATCATTCACCAACCTGAAATAGCCTTTCTGGGTTGGGGATAATTACCCGAAACCTAACCATAATTTACAGAGACATGGTGGTGAGTCGATATGATTTACAGTATATAAGCCAAATGATTTTACCAAGAAACATGGGGTATCAGTCGGTATCAGCAACAAAACTTGACATTTGGAATTTGGGTTCCTTGCTTCAAACTTGAACAAGTAGCAGTCATTGCTGGATTCACCATATTCTATCAGCACATAAGCATACATAAGCTATCAAGCATCTTAATAGGAGCTGGGGAAGTCATCCCAATGATGAAATATCGGAAGCCATGTGTTCATGCTTGCACAACGATGTGAATAAAAAGGTTTGCCTGCACACAAAATTTGCCTGCAATAGCGGTAGCTTTTGCGAATTCTAGGCTTTCTAAGAATCCTGTCGTATCTTACCAACTGAAAATCTAGACCATCCATGTTCAAATAAAATAATTGCTGGTCTCAAAACCACACAGTTCTCATCTGGTGCCCACCATGTCTCCATGGCCGGTTTTGTGACCGGCATGGGCCCTTTGGAACTTGAGCTGGATGAAGCACCTACAGCGGATCCAGATCCATTGCTTCAATGAGGCACATTATTTGGATCTATTTGGGATGTAAAATGACTGCAAATGGTATCAAATGGTCAGTTGCTGATCTGGATTAAGGTTTATATTGTTATAGTCCGTCATGGCAAAAAGTGACCCTGATCTGTGCAGTTTAACTGCATTTCCGGTCATCAAGTTTGAGTTGTCGCTAGCGAGGATCGAATGGATCAAGCCCAACCCCATGAACAATACCTCCACACGACTATATATATATATATTATATATATATTATATACAGAAATCATGTTTCTGGTCAGTCGCAAGCATGACGGCAGCACAATATAAACAGCATCTCTGATGTATTTCGAGGATTTTCCGGGAAGTACGAGGAAGTACTGGGTCTTCTTTATAGATTCAGATCTCTCACAGTGCAACAGCTGACCACAGGATACCACAGGAATACCTTTCGCCAGCTCGCCTGTAGGTTTGAGGACACGATCCAACAGCGTGGCTAACTTCACATCAATTTCGCCAGCCTCACCTAGAGGAGATATGAGATCACTGCCATGATTCCATTTTTGCCAAGAGCGCAAAAACGGGTCCAAGCGACCAGAACCAATGGGGCCAACAATGTCATTTTCTGCATTTCGAGAATCCATCCGGGTCCGAGACCCAAACATGGTAGATCATTTTGACAATTCATGATATTTCATGATTCATCCAATGGGATCCAATGGGATCCAATGGGGATTTTCCCAATCTCCGGACACCAAAGGGAATCCTCTCCGGACACCCCAAGTGGTTTCCCAATCAGAAATTGGATGTGTTGGATGAATCTCCAGAAGGTGGTCCCCGGTAGTTGGCGCTTGTGTATGGTAGATATCTACACGAACTGCTTCCCGAGGTGTGTATAAATCTTCGGACTAACTTATAACATCCATCATCCATCTCTATATATATATATATATGTATGTGTTTTCCGAATATACATATATATATATAATAATAACATATATATATATATATGTGTATATATATATATATACATCCCGGTTCGAATTTGGGGGAAGGGGTCGCACCCGGCTTCTTGTAAGCAGAAACTGGTGGGATTTTGAAAACCTTCATAAAATGGATCGGTTTTTGGGCATTTTGGTCCTTACACAAAGCATAGGTTTTTAGCCTCTAAAATCCGTCATAATTTTGTAAGGTGACAACTTTCTTCATGATATCAATGTTGTATCCCACCCGATGACCTTTTTATAAGAAGTTGTGATTTCAGATAGCATTTTTGGGTATCATTTTGTAAGGCAAAAACATCTGGTTCCCTGTTTTTTTCCCGGTCTCGTTGATTTTCAAGCAGCCTTTTTGTAAGGATCCACCTTTTGTATTTTTGCTTCTTTGGCATCATTGCCTACCAGAACTCCTGTCATGATGTCTTGCGTTTGTGTTATCACATGAGTACCAAAAAACACATGAAAGTTGAACACGAAAGAAAATGTACAAAATGAACATATGAGATAGCCGTGAGCGTAGCCACACTCGTAACTTGCAAAAGAACCTTGGCCGACACAACACCCGTTGAGAAAAAAATTGATGCCTCCACCAAATCCAAAAAGAAATTGAACTCAAAATGGCTGCCATAAAACTTGGACTGTGCCTTACAAAATGACACGGTGCTTGTAGCCCCAGGAAGCTGCCATGAAAGGGTGTTTACATTTTGCTGTGTCAGCGCTGTGGTTTCGAAAATGGCCAAAACAGCTATGAGATGATTGAGTCGAATTAAAAACATGTGCAGATCTGAACAATAATTTTCACAGTATCAATGCCTAAAAAACATATATTCATATTCTTACAAAATGATTCTTCTACTCTTGACGACGTCTCCTTACAAAATGTCATTGCACACCCTGCTGAGTTTTTTTGGTTTCTCTTGATGTTCAATAACAGCATCTTGAGCTTACAAGAAACATCAAAAAAACAAACTCGATGGTCTTATAGAATGAGTTGGCCCCTCAAAACTCCTACAAAATGAACACTTCAAAATGTACAACTTTGCCTTTTAGGTGTCCTGTTACAAAATGCACCGGTTAGGGGCTTCTTGTAACTACAAAATGCCTATATATAAACCATTTATAAGAGGGTCGACCCTCTTCCAAATTATAAGGGCAAATCCAACGGGGACAAATATACAGTATATTATAGTTCATGGATGTTAATTATAGGAATATAAATCTTATCAATGTCTATAAACCAAGAAACACCACTGGGGGAGGGCCACTGACAAATCGCCTGCGTCGTCTTTGGCCGCGCCGTTGCGTCGGAAGAGCTGCCGCAGGGCTTGGCTCGCCTGCTCCTTTGAGCCTTGGTGGTGGGTTGAGCTGACAAGAAATGGGGGGACACCTCGCCCATCTTTGCCCAATGGTGCTGGAATGCGGATATATAAAAAATACTAATAATAAATCATAGCTATATTACTATTAATATTATCAATATATATATAATACATGCATATATAATAAATACATATATATATATATATACATATTTATATATATACATATTTATATATATATACATACATACATATTTCACATTTATATATATATATATATACATATTTATATATATATAATGAATACATACAATTATGTATACAATACATATAATACATAATATACATATGTAAAATACATATAATAATAATATAACGTCAACATTTACCTCAAAAATCACCCAGTCTTGGAGGTAAATACAGCATCTGGGGTAGGAATCTGGCTATCTCACTAAATCCACCACTGCCACCACTCAAGCCATTGTTCATCAGGTTTCGAGCAGGGCTGTTGCTTATTAAGGAGTTGCCAGGGAGTCAAACTGTGGTATCTATGATGCGTTTGATCTCCAAATCCCCACCATTTTCCCTGAAGCCATAAGTTGGGGCATCCATGGGCATCCCGACTCCCCCAGTTTCAGACAAACCCATGCGTATAAATGGGAGTACCTGCCAACAAATCCTGCCTACTGAGCCAGCGGCTGAGTGAAGGTTTATATGTTTATATTATTATCATTATTATTATTAATTATTATTATCATTATCATCATCATTATTATCATCATTATCATTATTATTATTACTATTATTATTTTTTATTTTTATCATTATTAATATGATTATGAGGATTATTATTATTATCATTATCATTATTATTATCATTATTATTGTTATTATGATGATTATTATTATTTTTATTATATATATATATATATCATATTATATATACATGGTAAGGGTGCAGGAGTTTAGGATCTCAACATTGTTTGAAAAAACAATCCCTTCTACGAAAAAAACACTCTATAAAATGCCATCCAAGTAGCCTTCCGAAGTAGCATTACCATTGGCCGTCTTGGACATCGCCATGAGTTTTCGCAGGGCCTTGGAACTTCAATGTGACTTGCATCAATTTTTTTCGATCCTTTCACCACGGATTGAACCATCCAGATCATCCAAATAATCCAGGAGATTCCAGAACAGATCCCCATTTTGGTTACATATATAAATATACATATATATATATATAATTATATTATATATATATATATATACCCGGTGGCCCGGTGGTGATACCCCATTTGTTGGGGTTTAATCCCACAAATCCCATAAAATCCCAGGACGTTCCAGGATGATTCCACTGATCAGTCGCAACAACCGCTTGGTTCCCGTACTATCTTGGCCTTGTCCAGCTCTGTCATGGCGGCGACAGAAATCGGCGGCTATCTGTAGGCTCCCAGGGCTATCTAAGACCTGCTTAAAATTTGGCCATGAGTAAGGTCTTGGATCTTGGTTTGAGCGGCTTTTCAAAGTGAAGCAAAGGTAAGCGTAGCAAGTGATGGAAGCGTGGCCGAGTGGAGCCATGTTGTTTGTTGTGATGGAGCCCCTGCTGGGCAAACGGCCTGGAGGCAAAGAAGAATCGTGTCACATGGCGGCTGTGCCAAACGGCGGTCAGGCGGGAGTCCAAGAATTCCTTCAGTCATCTGCCAGTTCCAATGGTACCCACGGACATAAACCAAGGTGAATATGAGCTGCAGGACACTAATGATCACTAATGGATTGCAACATATTGCAAATCATGCGTAGTTTTCACAGTCCCATCTAGTACCAATCGAAAATTGTCTCAAATCCTGTGGGGTACCATCGGAGGTCTACTACCAATCTCAAATCATCTATGACCTTTCTGGGTCATGTGTTGGCAGATTTGGCAGCACCCACCTCCACGCAAATGGTTTTGCCTGGACGACTCATCAGCTCCACGAAACCTCAGATCTGTAGAGGACAAAAATACATGGGATTATACTATTTTTATCCTTTCTCACCTGGTGAGTCTAGTGAGGTGAAGAAAAGTGTAAAAACATGGAAAAACAACATGAAAAATGACAATAATTTGATCTCTCAAGTTACTGTTGGCTGAAGACCAAAAACAAGGGGCGAACATAGACGGCAACAGTCAAAGGGGCAGACCCACACATCGACAAACAGCTGATTTTGTCTGGCTGCAAACGCCAAGGTCTGCAGGAATCGATCCTAACATCGCCAAGGGTGGGACAGGTCCCAAATCCGATGCCATGTGCACCGTCGTGTGACAAATTGGGGGTTACTCTATAAAGTATTAAATCAATCAGTCTTATTTTTTTCTATTGTCCTGGGCCACCTAATGCTTTCGAGGGGATCTCCTAATGCTTTCCATTCCCCCAGCGACGTTTCGAAACGTTCTGAACGCATGGATTCAGGATCCGTGGCTCGACTGAAGCTGCGGAAAATCTCATGTCACCTCTTGTGACATTGTCGTCATTGCCTTGTTGTTGGGTTCTGTTGCCCACCCCATCTTTCGGGATTGAACATAGCGATGAGCCATCAAACAGAATAATATATATATAATATAATATATATATAATAATATATATAATAAAATATTCTATATATATATATAATATGCATGCATATTTAAATGTATACATTATATCAATCATTAGCCTGTTTGTCTGTTGCCATGTCCGTATGCAAAATGTGGAGCCCAGGGGGTGGCCCAGGGGGCAGCCCATGAGCAGCCCCAAATGGAGCCCCAATGTATGTTTAAAGACCCATGTTGGGTCTGAAAAAGGGTTCACCTCAGGCCTTGGCGTGCACAATCAAACTTGGTATGAAACAAACCTCTTGAGTCAGGTGACCCAAGTCTGCTTGGACAACATGTTGGAGCGCCAGTGCCACACTTTGAGCATAGTCATCGAGGGCCATCGGCCCATAGGGTTTTGGCTTGAGCATGGTGATTTCAATGATTTCATGGACTAGGTGTTTTTTGCTTGAGACTTGGATTTTGTTACCGCATGGTGACATACTTATTGAGTTCAGGAAGCATTTTTGACGACCTGATTTTGATGTTTGACCGGGGGCTATTGCCATGAAGCGCTTGCACGGCAGTAGTGATGATGAACCAGCCCCAGGCATCTAGTAGCAAGTCATTTTTTGCCACTTTGACACCGGGTGGCATTTTTTTGAACTTCACTGCAATGGTCATACCATACATTGCAATTACGTTGGGCAGGGAGTCTGTGAGAGTGCTGTACAGTGGTTGGGGCACTCTTCCCACTTCCCGTCAGCTCCTTTGATGCAAGGAAGCTGCTGCTACATCAACGTTTGCACCATCTGAAGTTGCACGCGAAGACGCGTAGCAGTTTTCAGAGACTTGTCTAGTGTGGAGGACGTGGTGTCAAGGTAGTGTTGGATGGTTTGATGTCTAGACTGGCTGAATGAAGTTCCGACATGTTTCTTTAGGCAACTTGAAACCTCTTTCCTTTTCATGGGCACGGCGCCCCCCCAATGCTTGGCACTTGGAATCTGCCGTTGCTATATAGTTGGTGTGCAGCAGGAGATCTATGACAAGGACAACTTCGAATATGGTCCATTTCATCACGGTGCATTGCCGGGAATCTGGTCACCTTCCGGATTGATCCATAGCTGCAAAGAGCAGGCCAAGACGTAGCACGGCGGTAAAACATACTTCTGCGCATTGGCAAGAATATGTTCATTTTTCAGTGACTTTTCTTGGCTGGATACTGTGATGACAACTGACATTGATTACTTGCTGACGCCTGTTTGTGTGCTATAACGATTCTGATTTTGAGTCTATGATTATCTCAAAATTTGCTCTTTTCAATCATTCTCCAGCGTTGGCAGGAAACTGCCTTTGCTTCGAGTGACCTCTTCCATTGGCTGGTCGTGCGGGGGATGTAGCTTAGGCTGGGGCTATTGCGCTGATCGTTTGGATTTGGACGATTTTCAGGCGCCAACCGTGGCGGCCAAGGCGCTTGGGCGCACCTTACATGTTGAGAACTTCTCAGAGCTGATATGGAAATTTGAACCAGTAAGGATAGTCAGGATTATCCTTTTTGATTCTGTGACATGGGGTTGGTTCCCACTTTGGGCTGCACTCTGGGCTGCACTTTGTTTCACTTTGCCACCAAAACTCCCCCCAGGAACGGTTCAGAACGGTTCAGAACGGTTCTGAACTATTGTGGGGGTGTTTACGCATGGTGTTTGGGCACGTTTGGACCAGCTTTTGGGAGTTTTTTGTGTGTTTTATTGTTGTCTTAAATGATTTTCGCGGCTTCAATCCACCTGGGAAGGACCTGAAGAGGAAGGACTCTACAACACAAAAAAAAAAAAGGCTGTGAAATCAGAGCTGGGGATTGAGCCTTTCCAAGGCTTTGTGCCTCCTAGCTTATTTCAATGCGAGGGAGTTGGACAAATTTGACATTGAAGCTGCCAAGCTCCTCGCACCTTGTCAAACGCTCCCCCCTTATTTACATTGCTGTAGATCGCATGATCAAACAGCCAAACCACATGTTTTTTAATTAGTCCTTGGCAGTTTTCGATGATTGTCGTGCATCATATCAATTGAACAATTTAATGCATAAATTAAATTGTGATTGTTATGTTTAGTTTACTTTTATTAATATTCGACTTCTCTTTTACGACTTACACAGTGTGAGACGTTTTTCTTTGCTGCGACATTTTTTAAAATAGAAACTGCCCTTCCCTTTCATTAATAACTTCAAACCTTTAAGACCACGTTTTCAACTTAAAATTTTGATATTCAAAAAACATGTGCCAAAACACGCCCCAAGACATCTGCCAGGAAACCGTTCTGAACCGTTCTTTGTAGAAAGTACCCAAAAAACGCAAATAGTTCAGAACCGTTCTGAACCGTTCTGAACCGTTCCGGAAACGGAACCGTTCTGAACCGTTCTTTGAGGGGTGAAGTTTTCATCAGAGAACCGTTCTGAACCGTTCTTTGTGCATCCCAAAGTAGTGTTTTTCTGTATTTATTTGAACAGTATTTTTCAATTTGTTTTCTTTTACGGATATCTGATATCTTAATCATTCATCATGTGATTTAAAACATCATTGCATGTTAAATCATTTCGCTTCATTTTCAACGCATATCATTTTATACTACTTTAGTATCATTTCATCATACCACATCTTATCACCATGTATCGCATCAAATATTTTCATCATGACAGCATCAAATCACGGAGCCCTTCCACGTTTCCACGCCATGGTAATTCCACGGTATAGAGACATAGACACAGAGACACAAATCGTACCGAAATAACATACCATGTCAGTTTGCATCATGTCAGCTTGCATCATGTCATAAGTCGTATAGGTCAAGTCATACCATCACATCATATGAATCATATCGCAACATATCATGTCCAAACTCAACAATTGCCTAAACTTCAAACTTGTTTTAAAGCTTCCTATTGGACTAATCCTGCAGCGCTCTTAATTCCAACTGTGCGCAGCTGGCTTTGCAAAAAGGGCATTGCTGCTCTTGGACATTTCGGCAGTTTGGGAAGTTTCCACGAAGGTAGGGTGAAAATTTTCTTGGGAAATTGAATGTCAACAACAGTTTTGACATCAATCTGGGCTTGCATCAGGGCTATGTATGGTGCTATGTATGGGGCTGTGTTTTGGAGAAAGAGACCCTATACGTATAAATTGACAGAAACACTTAAACAGGCTAACGTTTGATATAATGTATACATGTATCTGTACATGTACATATATGTGTATTTATACGTTATAATATCTTTCAAATCTATAACCGAAGGAAGTTAGGAAGACAAACATCCGACAATATGGACAGACGGAAAAGCAGAGGTGGGAAGAGTCAAAGAAGAGAAGAGAGAAGACCAGAGAAGAGAAAGAGCCAGAAGAAAGAAGATGCAGGTGTGGGAAAAGGTAGGGAAGTCGCAATTCACTGCGTTCTTCAAATGATTTGTGGCTCCGGAGGGTCGAAAAGTAGGCTCGCTAAAGGGGCGGGTGCGGAGACATCTGGCCAGATGAGAGATGACAAATTGCACGCCGTTGTGGCACGAAGCACATTTGGAAATCAAAATGCAAAACGCGCCATTCTCGGACCACTTTTGGAAGTTGAGATGTCGAAAAAGTGCACGCGGTTGCGGCGCGAAGCACATGTCCAAGTCAAAATGTACAAAGCACCTCACGTTCAGAGCACTTTTGGAAGTTGACACGTCGAAAAAATGCACGCAGTTGTGGCGCGAAGCACATGTCCAAGTAAAAATGTACAAAGCACCTCAGTGCCGGAGCGCTTTTGGAAGTTGACATGTCGAAAAAGTGCACGCCGTTGTGGTGCGAAGCACATTTCCAAGTCATTCCAAGTCAAAATGTTTAAAAAACACATGTTT